CAAGGCTGGGTGCATGTCCCCTGCCCGTTTTGTACATGGGGTTGGGGGAAGAAGGTAAAGGAGCTCAAAGGAAGGCTGTTGATGGCCCAAGGTCAGCTGGTGGCCTAATTTCCCAAGTTCAAGTGCACTTGGTTTGCTGTTCATATTTCCCAAAGGGAAGCAGAGGGTTGAGGGGTATGAGGCTGAGGAGAGGGGAGTGGAGGTTGAAAGTGAAAGGGTAAATGGGTGGCGCTCCGATGTCGGGGTGGGCAGGAGAGCTTGGCCCAGCTTCACCACCGCTTAGTTGCTGTGTGACCTGGGAGGCAAGTTGGCCCAAGCCCTGCAGGCCTCATTTCCTTCATGGTGCAGGGCTTGGCTGGACCACCAGGACTTTTCTTGGGCTCCTCTGGTTCCACGGAGCCCTTATTGTAGGCCTTGCTGTTGAGACCCTAGGCCCCTGCGCCCAGCCCTGCGCCTCTCCTTAACAGCCTTGTCCAGTTACGAGGTGACCTCCACCAAGTACACTCGGGACATCTACAAAGAGCTCCTCATCTCCCTGGTGGCCTCGCTCTTTATGGGCTTCGGGGTCCTCTTCCTGCTGCTCTGGGTCGGCATCTATGTATGACAACCCGCACCCCCTTGGGGTAAGAACCTCATCAGGATTGGTGTGCTTGAGTCCCCAGGGCGCAGCCTGCAGAACCCTGCCCCCACTCCCATCAGCAAGGTCCTTGTGCCCTCCCCTGGTGATCCCATGCCTAATAGACAGCAGGATGGACAGGGACACTGGGCACGTGCCGCTTTCCCTCACTCTAATGGGAGTCCCTGGGTGGCACCGATTGTTCAGCACCCAACCTCTAGCCAAGAAGTTGGTGGTTTGAATCCACCTAGGGGCACCATGCAGGACAGGCCTGGCAATCTGCTTCCAGAAGGTCAGAGCCACAGAAACCTTGTGGAGCAGCCACCCGTGGACCGGAACTCACGGAGTCACCGTGTGTTGGAATCGGCCTGATGGCAACAATGGGGATTTTCCACATTGTCCAAGACGGGGGTGGGGTGGGATGGGAGGGTGTCCCCCTTTGGGCTTGGTACAAGCTTCCTGTGGGGCTATCGGGACCTGGAGACGCTGCCCAAAAGGGGACAGGATGGGGACATCAGACTGGCTGCAGAAAGTCAACAGGCCACCAAGAGTGCATTTTGGGCCATTAACTTCAAAGGCGGGTGCCTGCCAGCCCTTGGTGTGCCCCAGAGGGTCGGGGTTCAGGGAGGAAGGGCAGTGGGCTCACTTTGAATCTTCTCTCTTCTTTCAGGCACCAACCAGCGGCTTCACTGGATCTCTCCTTTTGTAAATTACACTTTGGGTCTTTTTTTACTCTTTCCGAAAGAGTCACCCCTGTGCTCACAATAAAGGCAGAGGTGTGACAGTTCTGTCAGGTGTCCTTCCTGTGGAGGTGCTCCTGGACCCGGTCCCACCCCTTCTCTTTCCCCACTGGCCCTCAGATGATTCCTGCCACTCTCCTCCTCTGGGGGGGGCGGCGGTGGTTGTTCAGCAATGTCAGAGGGGCATCTGGGTCCCGGCCTGCCCTCTTCCCATCCTTTCTAGATCAAAGACCTCTAGGGACCTGCACCAGTCAATCCTGCCTGGGCCAACCCCTTCCTCTCCCTGCAGCCGCCCTCCTCAGAGCCAGGCACCGTCATAAAGCCACGCTGCTCCCGATCCAGGAAGGGAGGCAGCAGGTCTGCATGAAGATGGCATGGGCCCCCGAAGGGGTTGCTGAGCCCTGTTCCCAGCCCTGCCAGGAGGCCGAGTATGATGGCGCATCCCCAGCAGGGTCCCTAAGCTTCCGGCCACCTCAGGAACAGCCCAGCATTCTCGTTGGCCTTGGCCCCTGTGGCAGCCCTCTCTCCCACCACAACACTCTCAAGAAGAGATGGGAGGCAAGCTCAGATACAAAGCAGTATTTATACATTTATTTATATATGTATATTTACTCCAGAAACAAAAGAATGGGACAGGACGCACGCAGGCTGTCCCCCTCAGTTGGTATGAGATAAATATGAGTCAGAGCTCAGGGAGAGGAAGTGGGAGTTAACTTGGGCGGGAGGGGGCGGGGGCGCCTTATGCAGACACAGGCTTGTAAGGGGGCGATAGGGTGGCTATGAGTCGGAAGGAACTAGAGGGTACACACAAAGACAACAGCTGGGGGGGGGGGTGGCAGTGCTGTTTTCTGCGGGGCCCAATGTACAGCTTGAAGGAAGGAAAGTGGGCTGCAGGGTCCTGGGGCGGGGGCAGGGGGGTGCATGGAGCCAAGGATCCCCCTCCCCCAGGGCCGGCTTGGCAACCCCAAGCCTTCCTGAAGCCCCTGTACCTCAGGCATAAGGCAACTTTGGTCCAAGGTTGATCCCACACACACTCAAGCAGCTTGGCCCCAACTCCTGCACTGGGGCCTGCTTTCCCAGGCCTGGAGACAGCCAGCTGCTCACCACATTGGGGCGGTGCTGGGTCCAGATGGGCTCCAGGGTCACTTTCCAGTTACCTAGGACGGGATGTGCTCACGCTGCCCCTCCCCACCCCACAAGCCCCAGAATCCTATCTCTAGGGCCAAGATGCAGTACAGGCTTTAGGGAGGGAGCCCCTAGTGGCAGGTGGGATAACAGCAGACCTATGTCGATAAGGGTGTGGTATCCCTGGTGGCACAGTGGTTAAGCACTCTGCTGTTTGTCGGAAGATCAGTGTTTGAACCCACCAGCCAAATTCTCATAGAAAGATTCTTCTGTTAAGATAGCAGCCTCGAAACCCCCCTGGGGCTATCCTTGGGGTCCTGTCGGGCTATTCCGAGTCAGTTCTTGGTGTTCCCTATCAGGCATTAAGTGCTTCAAGGCCCACGGGAGAGGGGCCTGCAACCCTCAGGCTGCGACCAAGGGCTTCCCACAGAAAGCCGCCCTGCCTTCTTCAAACACCGAGAAGGTGGTGGAGCCCACTTCTGAAGCCAGGGCAGACATCACTAACTGATTCCCAACTTAGGTACCTGGATGTGGCCTCTGAAGGCTCCAGGCTCACACTCAAGGGAAAGATGTTGACATTTGAGAGGAAGCATCTTCACTAACCCGCCGTTCTGCTCTGGGAGGCAGGGCAGAGGTGGGCCCGCTGACAGCTCGCCCAGCCGGTGCCCTGGGAAGGCTCCACAGGCTGGGAGCTGCTACCTTGTCCTTACAAGTATCACCTCTGGGCTTTGAACTCCACCCTGCCCTGGTTTAAGTGCATTTTAGTAATTACTTCATTAATAACACAAAAGCTATATGCATCCACCTCCCAGCAGAGACTACCTGCTGCCTGGCAGGGATTCCTGCTCCTCTGCCTAGTGAGGGAGAGTTCCCAGGGAGCTTCTCCCTCTGCAGAGCACTCCAGGTTCAAGGGCCCCCGGGCCCATACCGGTGCAGGCCTGCAAAGGGCTGGGGGTGGCTTCAGCCAGGCACTAAGGGTACATAAGGCACGTGGTCAGTCTCCAACCCATTCAGGGCTGGCCTCAGCTGCCCTGAGTGCTCTTGGGAGCCAAGCTCTCCCAGGGGAGAAGAGAACCCATAGGCCATGCTTAAAGCTTAGAAGTCCAAGTCCAGTGTAACAGTCATGCCCCAAAGTCTGATACCCAGGCCCCCTACCCTTCCAGGGAGCAGCTGCTCTGCCCACCACTGACTCATAGGGCCAGGCTGGATCCAGGCCCCCGGCTGATCTCAGAGGCAGGTCCCCTTCCCAAAGAGGGGTGGCTCCTGACCTCTACAGGGGAGGTAGGGGCCAGCAGGGTCCGGGACAAGTTGGGGTACAGGCTATCCCTTGCCTCCAGGGCACTGAAGCCAGCCCCCCACCACACCCGGACCAGATGTGAGTGGGCTTCATCCTGGCTCCAGGTCTCCTCTGGCTCGGGTTCACTCTGCTGCTGGGGGCACGTGAGGGCTCCCAGCAGGAACAGCCGCTCCAGTGTGAGGACTTGAGTTGTGCCCTGTGCTGGCTTCAGCCTCTGCAGAGGGGGTTCCAGTGAGCAGAGAACTGGCTAGCCAGGCTCCAGTGTAGCGTCCAGCGGACCCCTGGTGCTCAGTTGCACAGGCGGGAGAACTGGAAGTAGTAGTTGGTGGCCGCTTGGCCCGGGGCCTCTGCACTGCAGTTGGCCTGACCCTGGGCGGAAGGGACAATGAGAGGCGGCTCCTGGAGTTGTTCAAGTCCGCCCTTGTGTTCTGCAAGCCCCACCCCCCACACACACACACACACACCCAAGACTCCTCCCAAGCCCCTGGCTGCAGTGCAGTGACGGGGCACCTGTGCTCACCAGCGGCGCCACCTGGAAGTGGTACGTGAACTCGCGGAAAGACGGCATGGTTATTGGCCACTGGTGGGAGGTGCCCTGGAGGAGCAGAGAGAGGGGTCAGGTCTGCCCCCGACCTGCAGCCCTGGGGGGAGATCAGGTTTGGAAGAGGGGGCTTTGAGAGGTGGTGTGGGCAGCAGTGGGCTTGCACGAGCCTGGACTTGTCAGGTGGGCAGCCCTTACCTGGCCCTGCCTCCCGTCTATTCCAAACAATGGCCTTTTCTCCCAGCCACCACACCACAGGCCAGGGCCTGACCCCAACCCATCTCAGGTCAGCAGGAGCCACCCCGGCAGTGCAGTAGTTAAGCGCTAGGCTGCACACCGAAAGGTCAGCAGTGTGAACCCACTGACCGTCTGTTTCCAGAAAGATGTATAGCCTCAGGCCCGGCTCTGTGGTGTTCCTCGGGAGCTCAAAGGCAGGGGGTTGTGATGGAGTCAGGGGGCCACCCTGGGGCCGTGGCAGAGCTGGCATTCACGGCCACATCTCATTGGCTTGCTCCCATTCAGGGCAACATGAGCCCACCCCGGGGAGCTCCTGCTACCTGCCTGCAGCAGTGGCCTGGCCTGTGCCCCCTGGGCACCTGGCTGGGCTCCCCCTCCACTCCTCTGTGGACCCCAGCCCTGGGCTCTCCCCCACCTCAGTATTCCCCACTTCACCTCTGTCCAGCTCAGGGTCGGACAGAGGAAGCCCAGTCTTGACAGGCTGGACAGATGCGTGAGTGGTGAGAACTGTCCCTGCTTCCCATGCCGAGTGGCTTCTCCCCGGGCCCTGGAGCCGAAGAGCTAGTGGTTAGGAATTAGGAGATGCTAGAGGGAGCTCTGGTGGAATCATGGGTACATGTTGGACTCCAGTCTCAAGATAGGCAGTTCGAAACCACCAGCCCCCTCTGATGGAGAACAAAGGGGCCTTCTATACCCGTAAACAGTTACATCTTCAGAAACCCACAGGGGCAGTTCTGCCCAGCCCTGGAGGCTCATTATGAGTCAGAATTGATGTGTGTTTGTCTCTGAGAGTAAGGAGCAGTGTAACTTCTGGTCACATGGCCAGAGAGGACCAGTAATTGACAAGCCCAGACATGGGTTCCCAGATGTAGCCTGAGGGAGCTCACAGGGAAGTTTGACTTCAGACCTGAGTCTGAAGGCCAGATGCCCCACCCCCCTGCCCCTGACACTGACCACCTCATTGTCTTGCAGCCCTCCTCACATGCTAGCTCTGCTCACACAGCACCCTCCCCTGTGGCTGCCCCCCACTCCTGCAGCACTCCCCCTTTCTGCCTTGGTTGTCCCCAAACCATCCTTCAGCTCTGATCTTGAACGTTGCTTTTCCAGGGAGGCTGACCTGATCCGGAGACCATGCCAGTTCGCTCTCCCTCCCTGCTGGTGCCCATCACCATGCCCCTCCATGGTGGCCTTCCCTAGGCCACGGGGAGAGGACAAGTGGGCACAGAGACCCTGAAAGTGGGCCCACATCCCTGACTCACACCCCTTCCGCTCCAATTGGGGGACCCAGTTGTGCCAGAAAAGGGGAGGCCCTGGGGCCTGCTGGCCCCCAGATCTGCCCTACCTGGGTGTCCTGGTGGGTGGGGAGGCTCTGGAGGAAGCCCCCCTCCTCGCAGGGCTCTTCCTCTGTCGTCAGGCTGCACAGCACCACGGACACGGGGGAGGGGGAGCTGAGAGGCAGGGTGGTGGGAAATGGAGTTAAAGGGTGTTCATCCCAGCCCCCTCCCAACCAGATCTCCACCCCCAGCTCACAAACCAAGCCCCACAGCACCCTCCATGGCCCAGTGATGCCGTAGAGGGGTGCTGAAGGCCAGGGTTGAAGTAGTTAAGCACAAAGTGCACATCCCTGCTCGGTCACTTCCCCGCAAACTGCCCAAGCCCCTGTGAGGGGGCAGGAGGGGATCTGGGGCCCATGGGAATCCCACCCCCACTCCCGATCCCCAGTACTCACTCCATCTGCAGAGTCAGACTCAGGTGCAGTGGGGTGCTGCTGCTGACCGGGATGTGGTAGGTCAAGTTCCCGGGTCTGAAAGGACAAAGCCGGCTCCTCAGGCGCAGGCCACCTGCTGCAGCCGCCCTGCCAACCCCGAGTCCCCAGTCTACGCAGGAATGCCACGCGTTATTATGCTTCCCAGACAGCGCTTTCTGTTCCTTACTTTCTACGTTTGTTTTCTCTTTCTTTATAAACTGAAGGCTTGCGGCAACCCCGAGCTGAGCCGGCACACCTTCCCCTGCTGTTTCCCCCGACAGCTCACTTCACGTCTCTGTCACATGTGGGTCATCCTCACCCCGTTTCCGACTTTTTCATAACACACCCAGATACTTGATAGGTTACCTAAACCCGCCGCCACCAGGGGATTCCCCCCTCATAGCCACCCTGCAGGGCGGAGCAGAACTGCTCCTTGGGGTTCCCGGTGCTGTAATGCTGATGGGAGCAGGTGGCCCCATCTTTCTCCTGCGCATCCACTACTCCAGCAGCCATACAGGACAGGGTGAAACTGACCCTGTGGGTTTCTGAGGCTGTGACTTTACGGGCGTAGAAAGCCCCATCTTTTCCCCCAAGGGGTGGGTGGTGGCTTCGAACTGCTGACCTTGTGGTTAGCCGCCCAACTTGGACGCACCACCACCAGGGCCCCTTTATGGGAGCTCAAACTCACTGCCATTGAGTTGATGGTGACTCAGAGCGACAGACAGCTTCGCCTGTTCAAGAACTATTTGTAGAGACCCTACAGGGCACGGTAGAATTTCCCAGGGGAGTTTCCGATTATAGGAGGAGAAAACCCTGTTCTTGCAAGGAACGGCTGGCTGGTGGTTTCAAACTGCTGGCCTGTGGTCAGCAGCCCAGCGGGTAACCACCACGCCCCAGGGGTCCTGGGAGGCGAGCACGACAGCCGTGAGTCTGGCTTTGGTTTTTCATGAACTACAGTTGAGCACAAAGTACTTTTATATGCCCCAGGAAACAAACTACTACAACGTCCACTATACTGCGGTGGTCAAGAACACGACTTTCAAGCTCTCTGAGGTCTGCCAGTCCTGAAGTCCTTCAGGTCAGCACCCAGGGGCCCACCTGGTGGCAGCAGCGCTTCTCTGAGAGGGGCCAAACTGGAGCACCTGTCACCGGAGGGGCCCCCGCCCTGAGGGTGGAGGGAGGGAGCCACGCCCACCTGCAGGCATCCCCTGGCGCGCAGTACTGGGAAGTGATGGGCATTGACGTCTCCAGCACTTGGATGGAGGTCAGGGCGGGCACTGGTTCTGCAAGAGAGAGGAGGTTGGGGTACGGAGCACAGCTCAGGTGAGAGCAGCCGCGCCCTTCCTTGCTGGACTTGAATCCGTCCCATTGGGGTTTCCAGTCCCCCTTTCCAAGCCCCGCCTTGGCTGGAGGGGTCATACGCACCGTCTTCTCCATCAGCGTGGGGACTAGCCAGTTCCCAGGAGCCGGCCAGAGAGTCGCCTCTTCCCCAGGGATGGAGGCCCACAAGGGCCACCGGGAGGGCTTTTGCCACCAGCAGGGTGCAGGAGCCTGCCCTCCCCAACTCAAGGTTCAGTGTTCAGTTGAGAGTGTGAAATAGGTCATGTTGGGGGGTGGGGATATTTACCCCACACAGATCAGGTTCCCTGAGAGCCAGTTTTTCGATTTCAGCGCACCTGTACCGGTGAGTGAGCCCTTCCGCCCCCCCCCCCCCCCCCCCCCCACTAGCTGATGCAGTCTCTAGTGCTGTGTGATGGGTGGGGGGCGGGGAGAGAAGGGGAGACGAGATTCTCTCTCTACTTCGTTCACCCACAAGCTTGCTGCTCTCTGACCATCCTACCCAGAACACAGCCCGCCCCCACCTCCCTCACACACACACACTTACTGGGCTCAGTGCATTTCCAGCTCTAGGGAAGCATAGTGCCGAGCCCGAGGGGCCCCAGCCAGGCATCTGATAGAAACAGGATGCCTTCCTACTTCTCTCCAAAGTCCCCCTGCCTGTTGAAACTCAGCTCCAGGCAGCTGAGCGGAACCAATGGCTAAGCACTCATCCAGGAGCCCAAAGGTGGATGTCTCAAACCCACCCAGAGGTGCCAAGGAAGAAAGGCCTCGTGGTGGCTTTCAGAAGGAGAGCCCTGCGGGGCGCTTCACGTGTACCCAGTCACTGTGAGTTGGAACCAACTACTCAACAGCAATGCACAGCAACTTCGGATTCTGGGGTGGGTTCACGCAGCCTATCAATCACAGAATCATTAGGATCACAGAAGCGCATGGATCATAAATATCTGAGTAACATATGGGGTCTTCAGCACTTGTGGGCAGCCCCCTAAGAGATAACTATTGGTCCGTACTCACCCGGAGCAGAAGAGAACGAAGGAAGCCAAAAGCTCAGAGAAGAAACTAGTCCACAAGACTATCAGGCCACGGAAACCAGAAGCACTAGATGGTGCCCAGCTACCCCTACAGAAGGCCCCGGACAGAATGGGAGGAAAACGTAGACCGAGACTCAAATTCCTAAGAAAGGCCAGACCTTACTACAAAAGGGACCCCAGAGAGACTATCGTTCCAAGATATCCTTTGAACTTGGCATGAGGCCACTCCTAGAGGTCACCTTTCTGCCAAACGATAGAGAGGCTCATAAAATAAACAACGTCACCGGGGAGTATGTGATCTCTTAATCAACTGTGAGACCAGTCAACATTTACCCACTAGCAGAGGTGGCAAGGCAGGGCAGGGCCAAGGGCTAGACCAATAGAAACCGGCCAAGCTGGACGGAAAGAATGAGAATGCTGAATGTAGACACGTGGTAGGGAAGATAACCAGTGCTGGGGCAAGCTGGATAAAAACTGGGAGCCAAGCTTGCCGTGTAAACTTTCACCTAACCCCCCACCTACACACACACACACACACACACACTTATAACACTACGTATTTTCATAAAAAAGACATCTTTCATAAAAAGTCCAGTAGCACAAATATGTAAGATAAAGTGATGGTTGTATAAAAAAGCATGTGGGGAAATGCCACCATCTTTCAATTCCACTTCTCCATGGACTTTGGGGCTTTTCTGCAGCCCCCTCTTCTGAGAACTCTTTCTGAGAACACTCACTTCCAACATCACCTCTTCCAGGGAGCATGGCCTGCTCACCTCTCTGACCTGAGTCCGGATTAAGTCCGTTGCAAAGCTGCCCATAGCATGTTCTTTGGGGGCAGGACCCCGTCTGTCACCAACACCCCAGCCACAGAGCAGACTTTGTTAAGGCGGCTGGCCAGCATCTCCCCTTGGGGTGCCCAGTACTTTCCGTTTCAGTCTCGGTCCAACGATGCCTCTCGGGTTGTTTTTGTTTGGTTGTTTTCTTTTAAAGTCACTAAAGTGAGTGAGGTGGCCTAGTGGTCCCACAGTAGCCCTGGAAGGGACCTCAGAGGAAGCTGCTTTGAAAACCTGACTTCAGAGGTTCTCTTTGTTAAAAGCAAATAGCTGAGGCCTGGGGAAAAATTGGCAGGGAGGGGGGGAGGTACAGGCTCCTCCTGGCCCCGGGATGCTGGCCTGGGGGCCAGGCAGACTTGGACCTAATCCCTTGGTTGGTGGGCTGTCCACACTGGGCAGGCACCCTGTCCCCTAAGTCAGCTTCCTCTGAACAGTGGCATTGAAGATGTAGATTCACAAGGTCGAGCCCCATCTGCCTGATTCGGCATCCACCTGCTTCCACGCCTGTCCCTTATACCGGCTCAGTAAACGTCTGTGCACCAGTGACAATGGGCACACACACCACCACCACTACCCCCTGCCCCCAACAGCCCAGCCTGGGAACAAGGTGACAGGGAGGAGGGGCAAGTACCTGGTTGGCTCTGAGCCTGAGTGGGCTGGGCAGGGCTTGGGCTGGACTGAGGGGCGCCTCGGCGGGCACGGCCGTGAAGAGCAAGGCTGGGGCTGTTCTTGACTTTGCTCTGGCCCCCTGGGTAGGGGACTGCAGGGCTGGCCACGGGCTCCAGGCTCTTGGGAGGCTTGGAGTGGCCGATGCCATTGGCCGAAAGGCCCCAGGACTTGGCTTTGATGTTGGTGACTGGCAGCAGGGCCATCTGACTGGGGCCTGTGGGTAGAAGCAGGGGCAGGCTGAGAGGTGAACAGGTGGCTGCCCCCCTCCATCTTCTGTGTCCTGTTGGCTCCCCTGGTCTGCCCCCGGGCCTCTATGGGATTCCAGCAGTGAGTTTTTGGGTCTCTCTCTGGATTCAGCTAGGCCCCTGCCCCCACCCAAGCCCTGGACCCAAGCAGCACAGACCTGAGTGGTTGGTGGTAGGATCGGAGTCCGTGGTGGGGCTGGGGGGCAGTGAGGAGCAGCAGACGACTGGGCAGGGGTGGCTGGAACACAGGTCCAAGGTACGGATGGCTGGGCGGGGGGACGAGCTGAGCAGGCCAGTGGTCACTGAAGAAGTGGGAAGGTTTGTGAGCCTCCCCCAACCCAAGAACACAGATGCCTCCCACCTCTCCCGGCTTCTGTTTGCAGGCCTGGCCCCAGCACGTACCCGGCAGCAGAGGGGACTGTGTGCCGGGCAGCCCAGCGGGCACAGGGGACTGGCGAAATTGCGTGGTCCCAAAGCTCTGACTGGACCTGCTGGGGAAGTGGGGCTGAGCTTAGGGGGAGGGGGGCCTTCAGGGGAAGCCGAGGCATCCCAGAGAAGCAGGAGGGGCCGAGGGCGTGGTAGGCAAGGTAGACAGGAGACAGCATAAAGGGCAGCAAGAGCCAGAGGTGGGCGGGGAAGCTTGGTCCAGACACGTACCATGGGCACATGGCCTTGCTCCCCCCAGGGTGCTGGGGCCGGAGCAGAGCCAGGAGACAGGAAGTGGACACGGCAAAAGAGCTAAGGGGGTGCAGAGAGGAAGGGGGTAGGAAGAGGTGCAAGGAAAGAGAGAGAAAACACAGTGAGAGACAGCCCTGCGAGCTAGGGGCGCAGTGGGCTGAGAGCCCTGAGGCCCTGCCCAGCCCTCCTCTGACCCAGGGTCCCTCGGGTCCCCTGACTCAGAGGCCCAGAAAGAAGCATCAGCTTCAATAAGGACCAGGCAAAGCTACCCACCCTCCAAGGAGGCCCCCCTCCCCCCCACTCCTTGTAGGAGAGGGCCTGAGGCTGGGCCCTCAGAGGAGACAGGCCCCTGTGCCCCTCTGCTCTGGGGCACCGCTGCCCTGGTGGCTTGGCCAGCAGCCAGGCCTCCCGGGACATACCCATCAGCATCCACTAGATCCTCCTCGGTCCGTAGGCTCAGCACATATAGTGTGGACATGGACACGACACTGCAGGCCACAGAAAAGGGGAAGCGTGAGGCTGGGGCCACCATCCGGTGTCCCCACCCACCGCCAAGGGCAGGCCCGTGATCCTGGGGCCACAAAATGAGTCTGTTACCCTCCTTGGCCAAGATCTCAACCCCTGACCTTCTGGGCCATGCCTTTCTCTGCCCCCCAGTCTGACTGCACTGGGCACAGGACTCCCCTCTACCAGCCCCTCCCGCAGAGCCTGGGGCAAGTCACCTGAAAGTCATGACCAGGACCAGGGCGATGATGGTACCCTGCAGGAAGCGTTGGCTGACGCAGGCCTGGTCTGGGGTCACGGACGATGACTGCGCCCAGGGGCCAGGGGAGAAGGGGGAGCCAGGGGTATCAGCCAGGTCCACACTCAGGGTGCCCATGGTCCTCCCAACCCCCCTCAGGGAGAGAGGGAGGGGACAGGAACATGGGGACCTGGCAAGGAGGACTAACAGCCGGAGCCCAAGCAACTGGGGAGGTCCCAGCTAGGAGAAGGGCTACATGGGGACTGGAAGCCATGGTCCAAGCCACCTGCCAGCTTGCCCCTTACCTTGCAGGCCACCTTGGGGGGCCTCTTCTTATGAGGGACACTGCCTGCTCGGCTGAACTGGCTCCCAGCGTGGCTGCAGGGAAGGGTCAGGGTCAGGGACGCCCTGGGCAGAGGCCTTTGCTCCCCGCCCACCCACCCGCCTGCAGGGACCCCACGCCCCCACCTGAAGGCGCCCGAGCTGCCTGAGGACTTGAGGCTGTCGAGGCGCCGGAGCTTGGCTAGCTTGTGGCTCCAACGCTCCAGCTCGTCAATGCGCGTCTCCAGGTTGTCGGTCAGCCTGCACAGCTCCTTCACAGCCCCCACGTTCTCCATGAAGATGCGCTCCTGCCAACGGCAGGCGAGGCCCGAGGTGAGGGAGCCGCCTGGGCCAGGCAGAGCCTCCCTCTGTCTGGACAGCCCTTCCGTTCCCACTCAGCACCCTCTGCCCACCCCATCCCTGACTGACACAAGGGCTGGGGCCTCAGCACTTGACCACTCAGCTGTGGCTACATCGAGTTGCAAGGCATGTCAGGTGGTCCCACATCCTCCATCCCACCAGACGAGCCCCTCGAGCCCCATTCCGACCCATGGTGACCACAACCACTAGGGCTTTCAGTGCCAGTTCTTTAGAAGTTGAACATCAGGCTTTTCTTCCTGGCACCTCTGGTGGAGCTGCCCCTCCAACCTTTGATCAGCAGCCAAGTCCTGTTAGCCCTTTATGCCACGGGAGCCCCTCATGATAAACCCCTCCCTTAAAAACCACACCCAGTGCCACCGAGTCGATGGCGACTCACATGACCCTATAGGAGAGGGTAGAACTGCCCCTGTGGGTTTCTGAGACGCTAACTCTTCTGGGAGTAGAAAGCCTCGTCTTTCTCCCACACAGTGGCTGGTGGTTTCGAACTGCTGGTCTTGCAGTTAGCAGCCCAATGCGTAATCACTGTGCCACGTGTTCAGGGTGGGCAATAGCCACAGGGAGCAAGGGCTACAACCACCCTTGTGTTACTGAGGGGGAAAGGGACCCTCAGCCAGGCTCTTCCTCCCGTCCTCCCACACCCTCCTCCAGCTGCCTGCTCCCCACTTCCCTGGGGGCTGGAGTGGTGCTGGGGCTCAGAAGATTCAGGCTGACCCTCCCACCCTGCAGACCTTGTTCACCACCAGGAAGTTCTCGATGGTCTTCCCGTTGGCAAAGACCACGTCTCCTGTGTCCTTCACAGCCTCGGGCAGGATCTCCTTCACCTCCTGGGCGATGACACCTGGAGTGGGCACAGCCAGGTGTGTGTGAGGGGCCAGGGCATGCCACAGCACCCCCACATACTGAGGGCATGGCACCAGGCAGGAAAACCATTAAGGGGGCTCCCTAGGGCCAAGTGTTCAAGGGGGGGGTCTCAGGTCCAGGGTGCTGGGGCAGGAGCAGGGCCTGGGTCAGAGAGCGCTCGAGCAGAGGAAGGCTGGATTCATCTGAGTTTCTGGGTCCAGAGGACATGGAGCCCTGGTGGCTTAGTTGGTTATGAGTCCCGCTAATCATCGGGTCAATAGTTTGGAACCGCCAGTGGCTCCATGGAGGGACAAAGAGGCCGTCTACTCCCATACAGAGTTACGGCTTCAGAAACCCACAGAGGCAGTTCTATGGTACGCGGTCCTATAGGGTGATACAGTCGAATCAACTCCATGGCAGTGAAAGTTTCTGAGAAGGGCGTGACCTCGGGTGAGCTGGGTTCCGGAAGCCAATGGGAGGGGGTTCTCCCGAGTAAGGTTCCCAAAGGGCAGAGGCAGTATTCCCAAAGCACGGGGCAGGGCCTAGTGAGAGTCGAGGGCGGAGGATCCCAGGTCCCAGCCCAGGTCCCCAACCTTCCGGCCCCTACCGGTCTCTGGCGCCGCGGCCTCGATGCCCGCGCTGGCGGCGAACTCGGGCTTGTAGCGGTAGTGCACCAGCCGCATGCGCGAGATCCTCTTCAGCTGCTCCGTGGTGTCCACCTGCCGGGAGCCAGGCCCACACTGAACCCCTTTCCTTCGGGGCGGGTCCTGGCGAGGGGTCGAAGTCCAGGAGGGGGCCAGCCCGGACGCTGCAGTGCCCCGGGCTCTGGAGAACCAGCATGGGCTCCTTCCTCCGCCCCCGAAGCCCCGCCCGTGTGCCCGCCCCTCTCCGAGAACCCCGCCCACAAGCTCCGCCCCGTGGCCCCCCGCCGCGATCAGTGCCGTCCTGCTTTTGTTCTGTCCAGTAATCCCCATAGCCCCGCCCCCGCCGGCTGTCCGCCCCGCCCTGTCCCTCGTGGACAACCTCGGCCCCGCCCACACCTCCTGCACTTGCTCCTTGGCCCGCAGGTCTGAGGGGTGCATGAGCGAGCCCATGACCTTGACGTTGCCGTGCACGACCAGCGCCTCGTCTGGTCGGTCTGTGTTGATGCCCACGCGGCCGTGGTGGAAGACGGTGTCCGGCACCTGCGCCCGCTGCCACAACACGTCGCTGTCGCTTTCAAACTGGCCTGGATTGGAGGCCTTGAGAGAGTTGGGTGGGGTCGGTATTTGCGGTGGAGGGGACCCTGCGGGCAAGCGAGCAGCCCAGCCTCCACCCCACCACCCACTGCAGCCAGCCCCTCATCGATCCCGGTCCCCACTCCCACTCCCACTCCCCTTGGGGAAGCTTTCTGTCCCTGGTGGGCTCCTGGATGACCAGCTGGGCTCCAGGTTTCGGTGTGAAGCAGCCCAGAGCGGGTGGGAGTGAGCCCAGCAGGGTAAGCACCCTAGCTCCTGACTCCCTATCACCCAGTATTCTTCCTGGGTGCCGCTGGCGCCCTCTCTGGGCAGGCTAGGGGATGGTGGTCCTCACCCGCACGATGATTCGCTCCGAGATCTGGGCGGCCAGCGTGTAGTTCTGGTTCTGTGCGTGGGCCTGGAGAGCCACCACCAGCATAAAATACCTGGGGCACACGGGGGGTCTTAGAGGCACCGCCCCACTTCCCCTTGCCCCACCCCTCCTGGGTGTACAGCATGTGTACATGGCACCCAGGTTTGCCAGCACCCCCAGAAAGTGGGCAGGGTCACCTCGTTCTAAATGGAAGGGCCTGAGTCTCCACTAGGGGGCAGGCATGCCCAAGGCCGACAGCTGGGGAGTGAGAGAAAAACACCCTAACTAAACAAAGCCTTGGCCATCCCACTCACCCAAAACTCACACCAAACTCACCACCATCGAGCCCATCTGACTCACAGCCGCCCTATAGGACAGGGTAGAACTGCCCCTGTGGGTTTCCAAGATGGTAACTCTTTACCGGAGTAGAAAGCCTTTTTCTCCCTCAGAGCAGTTGGTGTGTTTGAACCCTCAACTTTTCGGTTGGCAGCCCAATGCCTAACTCACAGTGCCACTAGGACTCCGGAGGAAGCCAGAGAAAGGCCTCAAACCTAACTGTTCTCCCCACTTCTAAAGCCAGCCGAGGGCTATGGGTCTCAGGTCCCTCGCCTGTAAAATGGGCCGGTCTGTAGGGCTCTCCACACATGAGGGGAGCAGCTGCTCACCTCTGGTCAGGGTTGGGCTTGCCCTTCTTGCGCATGTTGTTGGCGGTGGTCTCGCTGAAGTGCAGCCGCCCCACGGTCACCTTGGTGACCTGCTCAGGGGGCAGATTGACCCTGCAGGGGAAGGACAAGCACTCAGGGGGCAGAGAGCCAGGCCGAGAGGCGCACCCAGGCCAGGAGTGTGTGGGAGGTGGACGCAGTGGGCTCCGATGGGCACTCCCCCTCACCAGCCCCGCCCCCGTCCGACACTCACGTGACGGGGTTGAAGGGCCGCTTGCTCCGGTCAGACTGAGACTGCTCAATGTTGATTGACTGATTCAGGGCCTCCAGCTACGGGTAGAGATGAGCCCGATGGAGCCTCAGGGACAGGGTTCCTCACCTGGTCTGCCCACCTGCACCCTCTCAGCTCTGGCCTGGCCCAGCTGTGAAGAAACATCAGGCCCACCCTGCCCCAGCCTCCCTGCCCCACAAACTCAGGAGCCTTGTTACACACAGACCCGCCCCGCCCCTGTCATGTGCTGTTACTGCCTTCATCTCCACACCCATGCTCACGATGAGTCTCCCTCCTTACCCCTCACCCAGGTCACCCACCCATGACAGCACCACACCCTACAGCACACTCCTGGCAAGTGCCGGCAAGTGCACATGCCCTGTCACCCTCACAGCCCCCAGACCCACACAGGCACCCCACAATTCTCTACCTCTATGTACACACAGACCCTCCATCACCCTCACACCCACTTCCTGTACCCCATCTGCTACACCCCCCCAACAGCCTCCACTCACACCCTAGGCCATGAATTCTCCTGACCCTCCCCCACAAGCATATCCCCTCACGCCCTCAAGGGGTGGGGGCTGAGCCAAGGCTAAGTGCCAGGCCCAGTTCACAGCCCCAAGGAGGCAGACCTGCCCTCCAGCCCTGTGGCTACACTGTGGGTGGGGGAGGAGGAGGTAGCCAGGAGAGGGGGCCCGAGTAGGTGCTGCAAGGGGGTTCCCGGGAGAGGGAGCCATGAGGCCAGTTGTGGGGAGTTCCTTCCCTCCGAGTGGAAATCTGCCCAACGAGCTTCCCAGTGGCTGCCATTGGAAGCCCTTCTGAGAGGCGTCTGGGTGGACTAGCCTTTTCTCTTAGTTGCTGAATGCTAAGCCATCGGCACCAGGGTCTCCCAGGGAGAGGTGAACTATAGGAGAGGCTCCGGAGAAACAAACACCAAGCTCATGACCATCGCGTGGATTACGATTCTCAGTGGCCCGACAGGACAGGGTAGAACTGCCCCTGTAGGTTTCCAAGACGGTCACTCTTTATGGGAATAGAGAGATTCATTTTGCTCCCATCGAGCAGTTGGTAGTTTCGAACTGCTGACCTTGCAGTTAGCAGCCCAGCACATAACCACCAGGCCACCAGGGTTCCCTAGCAAGCCAGCACCAAACTCACTGCCATCGTGAGTCGATGCCGACTCACAGTGACCCTACAGGAGAGCGGAGAACTGCCCCTGTGGGTCTCCAAGACTGTAACTCCATTTTTTTTTTAATTAAATACTTTTATTGGGGACTGTTATCACAAGATACAGGTCTTATCACAATCCATACATCCATCCATTGTGTCAAACACATTTGTACATGTTGCCATCATCATCCTTTTAAAGCATGTTCTTCTACTTGAATGCTTGATACCAGCTCATTTTCCCCTCCTTCCCCCACTGTGGTAGTTACATAACCTGGTGTCAATTTGAGGATTAAGAGTGTAGGGGTGGAGTCTAGCCTGTCACTCGGGATATAGCCAACAAGGTCTCTGTGTGGGCATGGCTTTTTCCTGAGGATTCTGGGAACTCCTGTATTTCCTCCTTGGAGGTAGGAGACACTCTCTCGACTCACTCCTTCCAGACTCTCTACTGACAAGGCTGACTCCCTGCGAGACATCCCTGAGGAGAAGCCACATGGACCTACCCCAATGCAGCCCTGGGAGCTGGAGAAGCCATGTGGATAGCCCTGCCAGCGCTGAGATGCTTACAAGCCACTGGATCCACAAGACTTCCCACCCACTGGCCTGTGATCTCCCTGCACTGCATGTGTTTCCTGAGTCTGAAGAGGTCTTTATAGATTGGTATCAGACATATGGGCTAATATTGGACTTATGGACTTGATCTGGACTGGGCTGAGATCTTTTCTCAATATTCAACTGCTCTTATCTATAAAGCTCTTTCTTATACACATATGAATCTCCTTGGATTTGTTTCTCTAATCGACCCAGACAAACCACCCACCCTCCTTCCCTCATGAACCCTTGATAACTTATAAATTATTATTATTTTTCCATGTCTTACATCGTCTGCTGTCTCCCTTCACCCACTTTTCTGTTATCCATCCCCCTGGGAGGGGATTATATGTCAATTCTTTGTCAATTGATTCCTCCTCTCTCCCCCACTTTCCCCTTCTCCTCTATGGTATCTCTTATTCAGCTGTCACTCTTTCTTTAGGAGAGTAGAAAGCCCTCACTTTCTCAGGCGGCTGGTGGTTTCCAACTGCTGACCTTGCAGTTAGTGGCCCAACATGTAACCCCTACGCTGCCAGGTCTCCTTGGGAGAGGCTCAGGGCCCAGCGATTGGCTAGGCTGCAGAGAAGAGCTTTTATCATACATGAGGTGGGGAGGGCTTGTAGGCTAAGCTTAGCATCGAGGTCTTTGCGGGGGAGCCTGGTGTGTTGGCCGTCCACATCTCAGGCAGTGCATCAGGCGGGAGCCAGAGGGGAAGCTGCTGTGGCTATCAGACAAGTGAGGAGAGAAGGTGGTAAGAGAGAGAATGGCCTAGTGAGGTGATGGCCAGAAGCCCCAGATTTCCAGGCTACCAAGGCCCCAGAAGCCAGTTCCCTGAGGGCAGGGTAAGGGGACAAGTTCAAAGAGAACTCAGTCTGGCACACAGGTCTGAGACCTGATGGGTGGCCCAGGGGACAGCTGGCACACTTGGAGATCAGAAGGTAGAGACAGGGACAGAGTGTGGGTACCTAGAGTACTGAGGGCAGGGGAAGGACAGAGGGGGAGAGCTGAGACAGGTGGGCTGGGGACAGGAAAGGATGGAAGGGGCGCAGCCAGGCCAGGGAGGTCAAATTTAGCCAGCAGCAGGGTCTCTCTCTCTGTCTCTCACTTCCCCTTGTGGTCTCCCCGCGTCCCACGCCTTCCTGGTCCTCCGGCCAGGCCCTCCCTTCTGAGCCCCCCGGAACCTGCCTTCACTCCGTGCAGCTTTAGGTAGAAGCAGTCGAGGGGCTTGAGGCCTTCGGGGGTCTTGACGAACTTGGGCTCACCCAGCATGCCGATGTACACTGTGACCTGGAAGTGGTTCTTCTTCTGACACACAAAGGCATCGTCGCCCACGGAGAAGTTGAAGCCCTTGTCGGCGTCCACGCGGTAGGTGGGCATGGGCCTGAGGAGCAAGCAGGGCAGGCCTGGATTGTCACATCCCTGCCACTTGCCTGAGTCCCCAGGCCCTGCCCCTCAGAAAGGGAAACCAAGTCTCCGAGAAGATTCAAGCGTGGGTGGGCCAACTCCTCCTCTGCAGGTCTCCTGAACTCTACAGCCCCGCAGCACCGCCGGGGAGACCCCAAGACCCAATGGCTCAGGGTCTGAGGAAGGAGCCTGCTGGGTCCCTCACCCCACTTGGCTCTTTCCCAGAGCCCTGCCTGAAGCCCCCTCCCTCCTGGGAGATGGGGTCTGGGGAGCCTCATGGCGCCTGACAGCTGGTTGCCATGGAAACGGTGGGACCAGGCGCCAGCTCTGCTGACCCAAGGCCCAGCCCCTGCCCACCAGCTTACTCAAGCCCCCAGACACCTCCGTCCTGACGCCCTCTGTCTGCCCAGCCAGGGAGACAGATGGGCTCCCCTGGGTGGCCTGCATTGAATGCTCACACTCGGCCTCAGTTTACCCATGTGCTGCTGGGAAGAGTGTCCCAGGTCCCCCTGGGAGGGACCTCCAGGTGGCAAGACCTCTACTCTTGGCCTAAAGCTTGCCCATTGCACCCAAGTGCCCCTGCACCAGTGATGCCCTGGTGGGAACAGGATGTGGGCAGGAGGCTGGACAGGAAACGCACTTCTAAACTGGTAATCCTGGCTACTACCTACAGCCAGGGCTCAGAGTCCAGCTTCCTGGTCTGAGATGGCAGGCTGGCCTCAAGTGGGTGGGGTAAGAGTAGGGAGGGGGCTAGACCCCCCACAGACCTGGCCTCAGCAAGCCCCTAGGGCACTAGGGCAGCCACTAGGGCAGCAGGAATACCCAGCCTTAGGGCCTCTGGTCAGGAATCTCCTCCAGCCCTGGGCACCCAACTCTACAAGGGCCCCAGGCCAGGGCCCTGCCCACACCCACCAAGGTCCACACCCATGGGCCTCCTGGGGGAGTGAGGGCAGTGGTCCCCACCCGCCCGCCCGCCTGCTGGGCCCCTGGCCTGGAGCCTGGGAGCTGAGCCCACACAGGTGTTGACAGAGCCAAGAAGGTCGGACCGCCTCAGCTAGTCCTCCCTCCTCCCTCCTCCTTCCAAGTGGAAGCTGATAGAAGGCCCAGCTTACACCTTTCTTCCTGCTCCCTTCCTGGAATGCAGGCGGAGGAGGTGCACGAGGAGGAGGAGCTGGGAAATACCCACCCACCCCCTTCTCCCACTGGCCGCCCCAGGAAGACGCCGCCTACACGAGGCTGCCCTGGCCTGGCCTAGGAGCCCGAGCCTGTGTCTGTATCTGTGAAATGGGGCCATCTTGTGCCAGGGCCTTTGCCCACCCAGTCCTGTTCTTGGGTCAAGGAAGCCCAGCTGTCCCAGGGCAGGCCCCTGGGTGCACTCACAGTTCCTTGTAGTTGGCATCGTAGAGTGTCGCCCACTTGTTCTGCTGGTGCGGCTGCCACTTGATGGACTGATAACTGGGGTCCAGGTAGGAGCCGCTGAGGCTGTCGCTGTCCTGCAGGAGACCTGCAGCGAGGGGACGCCCCTGTGGGCCCTAGCCTGGGCCACCCAGCCCCTGGGCCCTGGGCCCCGCCCCCCAGCTCAGAGGGTTGGTGGACATGGCCTGCATGTACCTGGTGAGGGTGGGCCTGAGGGGTGCCAAGGCGGCGTCTGGACCCGGGTGATGCTGAGAGGCAAGGAGCCCTGGCCTGGGGAGAGTGGGCCCTGGGGAGGCCAGGGTGGGGATGGGGCTCTAGCAGGGTGCTGGGGCAGGGCCGCCATGGTACCCGGCTCCTGCTTGATCATGCCATTCAGCATCTGGGCGTTGAGGGTGTGGGGGGGTGACCCGGAGTGCTTCCTCTTCTTGGAGGGGTGCGTAGGGAGCCTGGGGAGGGGGGACAGAGGTATGAGCCATGGGGGAGAGAACATCTCCTTGGCACTCCTTAGGATCTCAGACAGTGCCCCACCCCCCCTAGGTGCTGCCAATTCCCGATTCCTGGGAAGTCCAGGAGGGCAGGACCTATGCCTGCTTTGCCCCCTCATTCCCTTCAGGCCCAGTATGAGTCCTGCCACTCAGGGAACTGGGCAACTGCCATTGGCTCGAATTGGGGCCCTCTCACAGGTCTTAATGGGGGTGGGGGATGTCTGTGGAGGGTCTGCGCCAAAGGGCCTCACGGACTTTCCTGGTGGGCAGGGAGAAGCTGAGGGGCCTGCAGGACACACCACCACCACCACCACCACCACCACCACCACCAGTCTGGCTTCCACAAAGTCTTAACAGGGGAAATCTTCCCTGGAAGTAAATCCTTCTGGAAATCCCAATGCATGAAGAGCTCATGAGACAACACTGTGGGCTGGAGTCAGCACAAGGCCCCGGCCCAGGCCGAAACCTTTGCAGACACCCGAGGATTCCATAGACAGTGGGGAGTCAGGGGGTTCAAGGCTGGAGGGCAGATCTCAAGGTTTAGAGACCCAGGTTCAAACCCAGGGTTTGCCCCTGCCCAGTCCTCCCCCACCTCTCCACCCCCACCCTCTGAGCCTTGGTTCCCTGGCTTGCCCTGCGGGGATGGTAATGCCCTCTGGACAGTTTGCTATGAGCTGTCATTCTGTGAACCCCACCCCTGGTATGGTTGGGCACCTCCCTGTAAGGCCCCCCAACCCCATTCCTTTATCTCTGTCCCTCTCCTCCTGGAGCTGCCCTCCCCCCACACCCCACCCAAGTCTTACTCGGCTCCGTGTTGCTGCAGCAGCTGGTGTAACATCTGGGACTGCTCAGAGTGGTGGAGATCACTGGGTGCCAGTCCCTGCCCCATGGCCGCATAGTGGGGGATGGGGGGCTCAGCCTTCATGTACAGGTCCCGCTGCAGGACGGGGTAGTGAGGCGGGGGCGGCGGGGGCCCCGGCGGCAGGTGCGCTGGAGGGGGTGGTGGGTGCTCCAGGCGGGACGGCACCCCCACATGACACAGAGCCTCAGGGGTTAGCGTGCGCAGGAGGTGGGGGTCTGCGAGGGGTGGGTGCAGGTGGGCATCAGAGACCTTCCTTATGGGGGTTCCCAGCAGCACCCACTCCCTCCTGATAAGAATCTCCAGAGTCCCATCGCCTCCTGAGCCAAGGCTGGGGGCTTCTGGCCCACCGAGCCCGGCTGGGAGAAGACTGGTCACTAAAGGCACAAAAACAAGACTGCCCGAGTCAGCAGGCAGCCCTTCTCTGTCCCAGCCAGCTCCCTCCTGGGCCCGAGCCTGAGCCTCCTGGGCCTCAGAAAGGAATCACTCAAGACCCCGGCCCAGGCCCCAGCCACCCTCCTCCCTCTGGCAGCCCCTCTATCAGGCGCCCGCCCTGTTGGGGGGTGGGGGTGAAAGGGGGTAAGGCTAGCTCCCTGGTTCCCCAGGAGGCATTCCAGGGATGTTTTTGTTAAGATAAACAGAACTCTTGACCCCTCTCGGGGCTCCCGGAGCCCGCCTGCCCACCCGTCATTCTGTTCTTAGCCACCTAGGGGCCGCTGCACCCCTGAAGAGCCCCCGTGGGTCTCGGCCTGTGCCCAGCCTGCACCTGCAGCCTCCCCGGCCAGCCACTTACCGCCATAGGGTGCGTCCATGGTGGCTGGGCTGGGCCGGCAGCAGCATCCCCCAGCGGCCCACTGGCAGTGCCCGTGGGGAACAATAGGCAGCCGGAGGAATATTTGCCCAGCGATAATCGCCCCTGTTGGCGGCCACAGGCCCCCTCCCTCGCCCCCGCCCGCCCGATAAGGCCACCCCAACCATTTGCCAAAGCCCCGAGGGAGGGCGTGCCTGCCGGACTCACCATTCACCTGCGGAGGGGAGTAGGCCTCGGAGCCCGAGTCTGGGGGCGAGTCCGGCAGGGTGCTGCGGGGCGGAGGGAGGGGGCGTTGGGCAGGTGGCCCTGAGCTGGGCCTGGCTGAGGATGACCCCTTGCCACAGACCTCCCCCTCTGAAGCCCACCCTCAAGGGCATTTCTCTGCAGCCCCACCTGGGGTGCCTGAGTACACCTGGGGCTGAGCTGTGAGGGTGGGGGGGCTTGAGGTCCTACTAAGTTCTCCCTCAAA